TCAACTTTCTCAGCAGGAACCGATATTGCGTCAGATAGAAGCGTGGTAAGTGCTGGAACAAGTTCTTTTGTTCGATTCTGAATCACTTCCTCTAGGACATTAAATCCAAGTAGTGGCTGTGCAAGCGGAATGCTACAGATGAGAAAAGGCACCATGATCGATTGGCTAAGCGCACCATCTCCCCTGAAACTGACTGCAATAAGGACCCAGCCATCAAAAGGGAGGATTTCTCCATTCACCGCGTGCACTTCCAGCTCTTCTCTCTCATCAAAGATTTCACTAAGCGGCCTAATGGGTGTGTTTGGTAGATACCTCTCTTTCCAGCTTTTATCTATCATGCTCACCTGAGCTCCAGTGTCCAGTAAGGCATTGAATGTCATCCCATTGAGGTCACATCGTGCAAGGGCTTTGGCTCCTATGAACTTGGCCAGACGTCTACTGGTTTGAGTGGGTAAAGAGAGAGAAAGTTGGTTATTGACTTGTTCATTGTTTTCTTTTGGTCTCTGATTAGCTGAACTTGTCTCTGCACGACTATCAAAGCTCCGTACGCCACCCTCAGCACTGTGGGACTGAACGTGAAGCCCGGTCACTGCTTGTCCCGTGGCAGAAACCGGCTCCAGTTTTCCGGACGCTTGGGTTTTTTCAAACAGCCTACTGCTCTGTGACCGTCCTCACCACAGTAGAAACAATGAGTGCAACCTGGGCGGTTCTGGTCTAGACAATTAGCACAGCTATTTGGTCTGGTTTTCCTTTGATCCACTTTGACTTGGAAATGATGGCAGCATTCTGGGTTTTGAATATGGGGGGGTCTTTGCAGTAGTTCAACTTTATTCATTAACTCCTCTACTTTCTCAGTTAACTGCTGGAGTACATCAGCCTTTGACTGTTTGTCTGGAACATCTTTCTTTGTACTACTGCTTTGTACTGCTGCCGCTTCAAGCTCTGTGCTATTTACACTTATTTGTTTCTGCTTCACAACCGACCCCAAACGTCTCTGTCTCTCATTCTCAATGTTTGTTATCTTCATCATTTGCTTTAAGATTGTCTCGTCAGACACGCTGCTATCTGACAGAAATGGTTTCAGTTCTCGACGTATGTCGTTATGCTTATGGCTGAGACCCTGATACACAGCGTGCAGGAAAACGTCTTTAACTGTGTTCGCATTATACTTCACTTCTGTGTCAGCGTATTTTGAAGCGAACAGGATCTTTTGTTTGAGGCCTATCACTCGATACAAAAATTGTTGTGGAGTCTCGCCATCATTTTGTTTTGTGCACATGAGCTCTTGGAAAAGTTCTGTGTTGCTTCGCCCACCTAGGTGAGATTGCAGAAATCCTTTCAGCTCATCTATCGTCAAGTCGTCTTTGTGTATTAGCATGTCTTTGAAGTTTCCCGGTTTAATGGCTCTGAGAACGCCTCTCAATATTTCAGTCTCGCTGAATCGCTCTTTAACACCCTCATCGATTTGTCTGCATATGCTATTGTAGCTTAAATCTGAGCCCTGGTCGCCGATCTGTCCACCTTGGATCTTGAACTCGCGACGAAGCAGTGAAAGGTCTCGAAGGGGAATTATTCGGTCTTGTCTTCCATGTGGCTGCTGTTCTGGTGTGGTAGTGTTGTCATATTGTTGAGTAGGTTGTAATGGTGGAGGTGTTGGTGTGAGTGAGGATGTGGGGCTGTTAATGTATTGCATGACTTTATTGCTAAGCTCAGCGAAACTGGAGAGCACTTTCTGTAACTCTGTGTCAGCGTTCTGGGTGCTTTTGCTTTCAATAGGTGTAAGTGGGGGTTTGGTCATGCTAACTGCAGCTGTGCGAGTAATATTCGAACCACTGGCTGTCACGTTAACAGTTGTCAAGTTATCAGTATCTGTCGCTAGCGGACCTACTGTCCTGTTCTCACTCAGTACTGGAATTGGCATTGTCTCGTCCACATTTTCACCAACACCTAATTTAGGTTGAGCATAACGAATCTGAATGACATTATTCACAGTATCATTAAGCTCTAACAGCACTGCCATACCTGAATCCTCAGATTCCGCCAACATGTCACTGTTCATAAAAGTTAGAATGTACTCAAAGCAACTCTCTTCTTCGCCGACCTGAAGCGTGGATGAGTCCTTCCCTGGCACTGGACCAACTCTCTGGGCTAGTTGGAAAAGTTCATCGGCCGTCAGCATGAGTAGACTTTTCTTGATGCTCCACATCAAGCCTTTTCTCTCACCATCCGCCATGACTGCTTTTCTCTCTTCCCTTCCGTCGGTTGCTCGTCCTGGTCACGCTTTCACTCGCCTCTTGCTGGTCTGGTTCCACGTGTGCAGCACAATCGTCACCTCACCGGCACTCGTTCTGGTGAAAGCAGGATCCACGCATCACCCAGTCTTCCTCTCACTTCAAGCCTGAAGAGACGTCGGTTTCTGGAACATGTCAACTTCTGATTCTGGTCGTGCTTGTAGCCTGCGCATGTACTGTCAGTCCCCGTACGGGCCACCAAAAATCTGTAACGGGTACCGTGGCGACGGCACCCGTGAGGGACAGATTATACTCCTGTAACACAGGAGAGAAACGAGGAGACAGTCGTGTCAGTTCAAGCTCTCTGGAGTAATTTATTCACAATATGCATTAACAAATATCTGTTTCTCAGAGTCACATTTTTAAATGTATTCTTAACATTATAATGACTTTTAGTGTTCATGTCAATTCACAATCTGCAATGAAATAAACTTCTCAATTTCACATTCATGTTCACTGACTCTGTATTTCTATGTTTCACACTATTCATCAAAAAAGAAATACAAAAACCATAGAGATATGCATCAATTACTTCTCTTAAATGATTATCATTTCTATTCACAGTATTTCACCAGTATTACATTGCTGCAAATCACTCTCAGAATTATTAATAGACTCCAACCAACTTTAAACCTTGTTTAACACATTAACAATGATCAATCGATCTTTAAACCACATATATAGTACATTAAACAATACCTATTAAACTTTAAAGCTTGTAAAATACCTTCATGTACATTTTGTACAATGGAAAGTATATATTTTTAACTGACACGCTCACTACGTTACATGTGCGTTCTCAGTATAGGCCGCTAATCGTTCGAGCTTTTCTCTCTCGTATAAATCAAACTCAAAACCAACCCCTGATGAACATCACTTCTCTAACATAATTCACTTATATTCTCAACACATTTCAGCATGGTTAAATTCAACTTTAAAGTGTTTTTATACGTAAACCCACCTGTAACACAGGAGAGAAACGAGGAGACAGTCGTGTCAGTTCAAGCTCTCTGGAGTAATGAGAAACTCACGACTCGCACAAGCTTAACACCCATCACTCGACTCTGCCCCTAACGGTCAGGAGTAGCATTGCACACTTTTCACTTTTTTTCTTTTAAAAGGAATCAAATTTAGAATAAAACCCTTCTGAATGTTTTTTTTTCAAAATAACACAATAACATCAAAATGAAACAAATAATTTTGAATATATTTAACATACAATTTCAACATTTTTGTGATTGTCACACAAGCTTCTGTTATTGTACGTCACACGCATCACACACACATGACCAGCGTCGGCCAATAGTGAGCCTACGTGTGCAGCCCGATCTCATGAAAGTTCGTGTCTATGGCACGAATGTCATTTCTCGTGGCATTTATACGCCAAAAACAGTTTTTGCGTGTATTTGGCACGCGATTTTCGCGTACATATGATACGCACTTTTTTGCGTATAATACGCACGAACTCCCCACCCCCCTCCCCCCTAAACCTAACCCAGGGTTTTTTAGTGCGTACCATATACACGAAAAAAACACTTTTGGCGTATAAATGCCACGAGAAATGACACTCGTGGTATAGATACGCATCTTCATGAGACTGTGTTGACGTGTGACGTAGCTCTACGCAATCACACTACGTTAACTGACTTACAGGCTCATGGAGAAGGAAGTGAATAGTTGAAATAAAGTCTTTATTTTTGTTGTTTTTTTGCGCACAAAAGTGTTCTCGTCGTTTGATAAACTTAAGATTGAGCCCCTGTAGTCACTTGGACTATTTTAACGATGTCTTTAATGACTTTTCGGGGACAGCAAGAGCCAGTACCTCAAGAAGCCTATGGACTGTATGCAGGAGCGATCTTAATATCTTAAATATCTTAATTTGTGTTCCGAAGATGAACGAAGGTCTTACGGGGTTGAAAAAACATGAGGGTGAGTAAATACTGATAGAATTTTCATTTTTGGGTGAACTAACCCTATAAGTTATCCCTTTATTTACATTAAAATTCATATATATATATATATATATATATATATATATATATCACTTTTTTTTCTCAGAATTCCTTATTGTCAAGTGCAACTTGCAGTGCAGAGTACATGCACATTTTCACTGTTGTTACTGTTCAGAAACAGTCATAAGGAAAGTCCAGATTATAAAACATCTACAAGTATGTTCAAAAAGTAAGTTCCTCCCACAGACACTGTTGAGACAGTTGCAATCATTGAACCAGTTGCCACCAGTGAACCAATTATTCCAAGTGAACCAATTATTTCAAATGAATGAGAAGTTTCCTTTAAAGAACCAGCTGTGGCTGAAGGAGTCTCCTTGCCTGTAAAATCCCTGCCTGATCTCAAAAATGTTCGTATCCAGAAAAAAGTGCAGTGCGTTCACTGTAAAGTAACCATCAACAAGAAAAATCTTGATGTTCATGTTAAAAGAAAACACACTAAAAAGATCTGTGATCTGTGATGTTCGTCACCTACCTTCACAGTGCATAAACCCAGTTAGTGGTATATATTCCACCATCGCAGAGAGACCACTTGGACTGTGGAGTGTTCATGCTAATGGTATGTGACAAATGAAGCTTAAGTTAACCTTACCTGACTTTGGGGATTGCATTAGTGCCTTTTCAAAGGCAATGGGTATAGGAAGAATTTGTAAGTGCTTGGAAATGAATAATTTTAAAATAAATAAATTACGTGTTACAATATGCACTATACATTACTTTTGAGTCGCCATTTTATTTTACCCAGGTGAGAGCCTTTAATTTATTAGAGACATGTTTTGATGACTCTTTCATTTTGTCTCAGTTTTTTTGTTTCTTGTTTCCTTAGACTGACATGCCTTTAATCCGAGGGTGTTGGCTGAACCTAGCATTAAAGTGCATGAGCCATGAAAGGTGAGAATCAGATTTGCAAAACAAAAAACAGTCTTTCCAAAGTTTTCACTTTCTTTTTAATTTTTAAACCATTTACCATGTTATAGGGAAGCCTCAAGCCTCAAGAAGTATCAAGTGGATTACATGCATGGTTGTTCCAAGGACCACTGGATTCTTATGGTATAATTTCTGACAAGTCACTAGCAATTTGTACATTGTACAAATTTTGTCTCACAGAATACCGGTGATTGTATTCCTTGTACAGCGAGTATGTGGATTTTATACAACCTTGACTTCACAATCACTCTAGATTTTACTTCACAATAAAAACAGTCTGGCCGTCACGTATATATGTATGTAGTATCCACCATCCACTTTGGTATATATTTATGTAGTATTCACTACATACATGTATACCAAAAACAAAGACCTAGATAAATTGAAGAACTGGGCTTTTGGGCCATTATCCTTTCTTTTGTTTCTCTTTTTTGTATATTTGTTCACAGTTGCCAGCATCTGTTCTGGAGGACATTTTTATCGATGTGGTTCTCCAGTAGGGTGATGAGGCAATTTTGAAGCTGGTCCTTGTGTGCACTTGCTTCAGAGACCTTGTGACATGGGAAGGCTTCAGGATACGAGCCTATTTTCATTGGCTTGATAGTAAGTGTTAATTTTTTGCATTAATTTTTTTTTTCTTGATTGGCTGGTTAATGAATTCCAGTCTTGTGTATTTTTGTGTGTGATTTAAAAAAAAGTTTTATGTGTACAGGTGTCACAAATTGGACTGTTTTCTCACCATACTACAAGGTGGAGTACTACAAAATGTAAAAACTGGAAACCAGGCTTGTGCAAAATTCAGAATTGGCCTCCATTCAATTCATGAATTGGAATTTGAATTGAATTGACTCCGCCCCCCAAGAAGTTGAATTTTAATTGGAATGACAGGAAGTGGAATTAAATTCATGGCAATTCAAAGAAATTCCACACAGTCACACAACAGAAAGAATGTGTTGAATCTCACATAGAGGAAATAAGTGGGGCACAACGCAACTCTTTTTGACTTTCTCATTTTGTGCAAATCTATTAAGTATTTATTTTTTCCCACATTAATTTCCCACATGTCTAGTACAATTATGTGGTTTTGTTTTATTAATACAGTGTATACTTTTTTCTTGATTTACCCTGAAATAAATGTTAAATGTGACAACATGCCCCATAGGTGGGGTACATTGTAACATGAGGGGCACATTGTAACATCACCATATGACAGCTTAAAATGCTATCTCACCTAATCAAAAAAATATACAAATCAAACCAAAATTATTAACTTTTTCATATAAAACAATGGAATTTTTTAATAATTAAAAATATTCTATTTTTTGATTTTGACAACAAACACAGGAAAACACAACTATACAGCATAATTCAAAACAAAATAATAATTAATCATTTCCGAACATTGACTTTCAGTCTTTATTTACATGTTTCTCATATTTTTTCAATAGAATTCATAACAGTATAGAATATAATAGCATATTTCTAATAGGGGCACAATGTAACGCAGTGTGACAACATGCCCTAACTGCACAACTGGGGTTTAAACCCTGCTAGTGTCTTCTGCTAGTTAGCGAAGTATTAGGACTATATCAACTGTTAAACTACAGATTAGAGATTAAAAAAAAATCAGATTTGTGTCATTTTAATTAAACACAAAATAGAGATGAAAAATTAACTTAAGTAGGAAATGTACTTTTGCTATGGTTAAATGTTCAGTGATATCTTACAAAGATTGCAAATTTTTCTCTGTATAGTGTTGAAATGGCAACTTGCAAATACATCAAGTTACGTCATGCTAGCGTGTGGAAGTATTTAACACAAGTGTGTTACAACTAGCCCTGCGTTACGTTGTGCCCCGCACTCCCCTACAGTCAGGGTTAGGAAGCGTACTTTGGAAATGCAATTGCTTACTGTTATAAGTTAACCCATTATAAATGTGGTTTAGATTAATTTATTTGGATTACTTTATCAATGTAAAGCAATTTCCTTTTTAATTTGAAATTCCTCCTAAAGATTTACTAAAGTAATTCTGGGAAATGGCCTTACAATTACAATAGATCAAACTTATTATTTGTTCTGTGACTAGAGATTTTAACATTTATTGCTGAGGGAAAACATTTCCTGGTATTTCAGCTAATATAATTTATATAATATGCAATCATATGACATACTGTATATTGTGAAGCTACATTGTTCAACACTTCACTTAAAATATCTATATGAATTTCTTAGAATATTTATTTAATTGTAATTCTGCTTCCTTTAATTCAAATTCGAATTGTAATTCTAGATCCTGTTTTTGACATCAATTCAAATTCAAGAATTGAATTGGAATTTAGTAGTCATTCTCAATTCAATTCTGAATTGTGCACAAGCCTGCTAGAAAAGGCTTGAAAGGATGCACAACACGGAAGTCTCTGCTCCCAAACTGTCGTTCCCAAGCAGCCCGCTCTACCCGCAAGTAAAGTGATCACAAAGGCCACCTTGGATTCCACCGTAAGCAAGCGAGATGTACAGTGAACATTTTGCCAAAAAATAACGACACAGCTGAGACTCACCGGAGTATCATGCAGGAGACGGAAGGTGGGGTTCAGTGGAACAGATGGTCTGGATCACTGCAGCCGGTGGATTAGTCGTGGCCTGTTGTTGAGAAGCAGCAGCATCGCTTCATAGTTGTTGTACCTGTTTCGTCAGTTCAGCGACCTGGGTAACTAGCGCCTGAACAGCACGACCCGTGGCCATAGTTTGTTCCTCCTGTTGCTGAAGACGAGCGTCACTGTCGACCAATACGTCATGCAATTTTGCCGCACTTGCTGGATCCATAATATGCTCGGTTCTGTAACGAATTGAGGCGAATCAAACACAACTTAATCACAACAAACAATTCATTCTACAATTCATATGATGATGTGTTCTGCTTATATCACATATTAATCATGTAATTGTTGTTAACTATTAACTATTGTGATTGTTTATAACTCTAGAGTGTGAATGCCTCGTTTCCTATCAAAAGAATCGTATTCTCTTAATTCAAAAGGTGGCTTGATTGAAATCTGTGTAAAATGCTTTGTTTTATGATTATAATAATCTATTTAATGTTTAAACTGTGTTCTCTTGTTTCTCTGCTAAGTGCGGGAGAACCAGGCAGATCACAAGATAATGATCAGCAGAAACTAGATCCACCTCCTAGATGATGCCATTGTCTCATTGGTCAGAATTCTCCAAAAGAGGTTGGACTAAAGTTTAAGTTAAAGATCCGAACAAAGGAACGAGACCTCATGTTCAGTGTTCAGTTGTTCAGACCAAGAGCCCGAGTTCGTTCGGTTTGTAACTGTTAATTTCGAGCCTCTCTCTAAAACAGCAAGAGAGTGTTATGCTCGTGCTCATCTCTGAAAACAACAATAGAGCTTCGTCTAGAAACTCATCAAGAAACCACGACTACAAATTAGACCAGCCAGACAAATAACCCGAATCAAGATCAGGCTTAAACAGCTCATTCAAGCCATCTAACTCGGTTTACTTTAATTTCTTTCCTTTGTTTTTTTTTTCGTAAAAGTCTCGTTTCAAAGTTAAGTTTGCTGCAAAGTTTCGTTTTTAAATGGCTTTCCTGCAACGCACTTCGAATTGGAAAAGACTCTCATTCGCTTGCTAATCACACGTGACCAACAACGAAACTTCCATCCAAGCACGAGAAGACAACCCCGCAACGGACCCGGCCGGGAAACCCCCCTTCGACGCAGCGACAAAAGGAATTCCCTAATCCACGCAAGACAAGCAAGTACTCCAGACTCTAACTGAACTGGTGCTTTAATGTAAATCGAATAACCTCTCTAAGAAACGAAGGTTTAAATTAATGATTGGTGTTCCATTCCAGGTTACGTCTTGTAAAGTGCATAGAGAGTCTTTCTCTCTCATTCCCGTTCCAACTCACTCTTTCTTCTCTCTTTTCCTCTGCGCCTTGTATGAATGTGTGTATGAATGTGTGTGTTTATGTTTAGACCTTAGGTTTGTGTGTTTAGAATAGCTAATAAAGTCTTCCATATATTTGAAAGATAATTGCCTTGTGTCGTGCTTGCATGTCTTGTACTGTTCGATCTAAAGTTACCATGCTAATATATATTGCTTCACTATAGATTGGGTATTTATATCCTTGCAAAGGTTATAATTACGGCCCGTTCAAATGAACTCTAAACGAGTCAGTTGCTCGGTTCCATGGTGATTCGGTTAAGATTCATTGCAAATCATTGAATCATTGAATCATGAGCTAAATTGGCCTTCCGGCCCTCTTAAATACATTTTATGTATATTATTTAATGTTGCATTTGCTACAGTTTTTCCTGTCACAGTGATGAGCCGTAGATCCAAATGCAAGTTAAGCAGTTTATTGTTGACACACAGAACAGGAGATTACCACATTCAGCAGATGGGAGACATGGAAGACAACACTCCGACTGAAGGATGTCAAACGGGGAATCCCCAGTGAAGGCTAGCTCGAAGACAGGTGAATGGACTTAGGCGATCTCCCTAAGGGCTGGATGCGCAGGAAACAAAGACATAAACTCCGCACGGAGACTAGGACACAGGAACTGTGTGAGAGACACAAACAAGAGTGACGGACCGACACTAAGCACAAACAACTTCAGCGATATAAGACAGCTAACATAATGACAAGCTGCAGCTGAAGGCTGATAATTGATCAACTGGTGCTAAGCAACAAACAGGTAGTACACACCCACAAACCCACACCTACAAAACACACCAACAGAAACTCAGAACGAACACCCGGATTGATGAACCTTGACAGTTCATTGAGTCTATAATCTCTAACAATCTCCAAATGCTCTACGTGAAACTGCAGTCTTCCAACCTTTTATCGTGTCAATTGATTTGATTAATATGCGTGAGGGAGAGAGCAAGACAGCGCTCGTTTTGTTTGAAGACGTAAGAGTGCGCGCACGGCCGGGGAGCTCTCTCTGCTTGTTGTGATGCACCCTATCAAGCGCAGCTGTCATTCTATTCTCTCTCACTGATCAAAATAGACTTTGGCGGAACAAAATTTTGATTTAGCAGCCACCAAAAAGCGGACGATTTGACGGTTTCAGAAGATTAACAACCCGAAACTAAAAAACAGACCCGGCCTCTATTTGAGACCGGCTTTTATTTGCCCAAACCTACAGCAACACCAGGCATGTAAAAGAGACATTCTAGACGGAAGAACAGCAATCCTGCACAAGTGCACCAAGGGATGCAAATGAGGGAAGCAAGCTGGTGCACTGGTGAAATTCCCAATGGGTTTAGGTCCCCAGTGCCGAGAATTCATCTGGCGAATCTCAGTGTGACAAGGTTCAGGGAAGAAGGAGGCAGGAACCGGATGACAATCAAAAATAAAACTTTATTTAAATGAAATAAACAAATTACCTGCCTCACGGAACTGCTGGCTACC